TGGGACAGCTATCGACAGAGCAACAGGGGCCACCTCTCTCCATGGTTTTAGGAGGTTGAGGTGATATATTTGTAGCGAATCATCCCTGTTAGTCCATTTCACTTCATAGTTGACCTCTCCTACTTATTGTGTGACCTCGAAGGGTCCTTGCCACTTGACAAGTAATTTTGAGCTTGATGTGGGAAGTAAAACAAGGACTTTCTCTCCCGGTGTAAATTCCCATAGCTGAACACCCCTGTTGTAGGTGCGGCTTTGTTGTTCTTGAGCCTTGAGCAATTGTCCCAGTTTCTAGAATCATCGTGAATGAACTTACGAATCATATTTTTCAAGGAGCTGCTGCACAAATATGAAAGGTCAGTCAAACTCCTGAAGTGTCAATGTCTGGAAGCGCTGACAGCGCTGCTCCAGGGTTCGGCCAACTCGCTGAAGAATGGCCTTCTTCAACTCCGTTTAGTCCAGTTGCAACCACCCTGGAAGTTGTTGAGCAGCCAATTGGGCCTTCCCTGTGAGGAGGGGGGTGTAATCAGACTGCCCAGTCCTCCTTATCCCATTGATGGTCCCTGGCCACTCGCTCGAACAGCTCCAGAAAGGCTGGGGATGGTGGCCACAACTGGTGTGTGGGTGGAGTGCAGCGGTCTCTGGACCACTTTCCAGTCCTCTTCCTTCTTCCTGCCCTTTTACCAGGGCCTCGAAATGGGCCTGTAGGAGGGCCTGACATTGACTCTGCTGGATTTGGGCTAGAATGTTGATAACTTCGGCCAGTGGAGAGGCTTCCATGGCAGTGTGATACTAATACTCCTTCCTGGGTTTCGGCACCACTGTGATGCCCTATGGGGAGGGGTTTAAGGAAGAAGGAGTACAAACATGCTCGTGTCAGTGGGCAGATTGCTTTTATTCTTTCTATCAAAAATATAACAAAACAAACAAAAGAACGCTAGGTTGAGCGGGAAGCTTTTCACTACTGCAGGCTTCAGAGTCTATATGGCACAACCTGCCCTATAGAAACACCTCCGCTCCTGCCCTCACCAACATCTGTGCACTTTTTATCAAAACAGTAAATGACATCTAGTTAGCTACTTAACTCATTTAAAACAATCTATCAAAGATTAGATTGACCGTCCAAGATAAATACAGACACTTACTCGTAATGTCACATTTTTAACTGATTTTGTTCAGTAAGTAAATAATTCTGACTGGAAATCAAATATAGCTCTCGCAAGGCATTATGTAATTTATTTACATTTAAATGCTGCATTGAAGTGAGAAATTCAAGAGGCCGAAAGCTGATTCACCGTCTTCAGCTGAATTCAGTTTCTTTGATGGCTTGAATGACCTTGCAGTATCATATCTAAGAATCATTTTGGTAAAGCAGAGAAGTGCAAGAACATGAAGACAGTTGAAATGAATACAAAGAGTACTGAACTCTTTAGTCGGCCTAATAAGACAGTGCTGCAGTAATCCAGTCTAGAGGAGACAGAGGCATAAACAAGTCTTTTGCTGTCAGCAGTGGAGAGAATGTAATGAAGCTTAGAGACACAGCAAAGGTGATAATACACTGTTTTGCTAACATTAGTGTTGAGGTCATTGTTAAAAATTACACCAGTCTAGTTCTGCAACCAGTAGAATTTCATGGTCAACAGTATCAAAAGCAGCACCAAGATGTGGGAAAAACAAGATAGATAAACTTCCTGAGTCCTGTTAACTTCTCAGTGTTCTGTTTCAGTGTTCTGTTATGATGTTTGTGTGTTCTGCTTTAATGTTGTTGTGTTTGGCCTGAATTCTACAAACCCAAGTCCAAAAAAGTTGAGACTGTGTATAAAAATACAAATAAAAACAGAAGGTGGTGATTTTTAAATCCACTTTCAAATGTATTTGAATGAAAACAGTTCAATTTAAGACTAGGAACACTGTGAAATAATAAGTACCTTCTGTCGCTGCATCCAGAAATGCAAGTTTAGACTATACTGTGCACAGTGTAAGTCATTTCTCAACAACATCCAAAAGGCTGCAGAATTCTGTGGGCTCAAGTTCATCTGAAATGGACTGATGCACAGTGGAAAGTGTTTTGTGGTCTGACAAGTCAAACCTCTAGATTATTCACGGAAATAATGAACGTTGTGTTCTCTGGGTCAAAGAAGAAAAAGACTGTTGTTGCCAGCGTAAAGTTCAAACACCAGCTTCTGCCATTGTATGGGGGGTGTTATTAGTGGGTAACTGGCACATCTATGAAAAAAGTGTGAATGAGTGCAGAAAGGTGTTAAAATAGGCAATACCTTAATATACGAGTCTTCTGACCACAGAGGAAAGAACTGAGCGTGAGAACTGACTGCAGTGCAGAGTCCAGGGGAAAGTTCATTCCACCTTTCTGGGGCAAAGACACCAAAACAGTGAGGTCCTGCATTATGGCTGTGCTTAGATATTAAGGGAAGACATGACAAGAGCCTGGAAGTCAGTATGGAATATCAGTATGGTGTAAATATATTAAAAAAAATGATTATCTAGTAATAGATATGACTTTATAGCTTTACATAAAAGATGCACTGACTGTGACTTAAAAAAGCATCATTAGGTTTCAGTTCTTATTTGGTTGACGTTGTCATTACTGCTGTTTTACTAGAATAGAAATCAGACCACAGACACATCTATAACTCCTCTCTGTTCTCAGGCCTCTGACACTAAATGTGGCTGGGAAAGTGCACAAACATTTTACTCACAGTCTACAGATTTATGATCGGTGAGACGTTCCCACAGTTTTGTATTTTTGTGTGTGAGATTTTCTGTCCTCTGCTAAATAATGAAATAATGAAATAATTACATAAAACTATCAATGATAAATGCAGAAAACATGGAGTACTGGGTTCCTGACTTTGAGCTCTTTACATGGTTGTTTTATAGGTCACTTTAAATTAGCCTACATGTAGAATAAAACAGTATTTTGACGAGATAATAGTTTACAAACACAACACAGCCTTTCACATGCTAATTTGTTTTTTCATTTGATTAATATCTGTTCACAGGATTTATTAATTATTCAAAGATGATTGAAGACTGGAGTGACTGATGGCCAAAGTAATGCATTGGCCATGAGAGCTGAATGTTTGCTTACCGTCTAATATGTCCAAGGCCTTGAGGTGACGTTCTTATAAGATAATCATTTGCCCCTCATGTTTTAAGAAGATGAAACAATACACTACAGCTTATTGTAGATCTCAGTTGTTTTGGTGATTATAATGATTTTACTGAGACTCTGTTGCACATGGGTGGTTCACACTTTAGATGAACTGCCTGTCTGGTGTCAATTTCAGACCTCCTGTGATTCACTGTGGCTTATAGTGCTCTGGTTGGTGGTTTATGTTAATGCAGTCATAGAGAGGAGATGAATAGCTGAGAAGTCTCATGGTGGTGTGACCACCTTCATTAAACACAAAGGTCTTAAATGTGTGTTGTCTGGTGTTTGATACTAAATCTGGTGTAATTTGTCGGGAAGAACTGTGATTCTGATTTCATGGAATTTAAACAGACTCATATGGCTCATATGGCTCATAACCATCTGTAGCCCCAGGGTCCACAAGCAGGTTCCTCAGTGTACATTTCAAGCTATGTGTGATCTATTATGTTTTTGTGGTCTGGTTCTGGGTTTAGTTTAATGCAGTGATGGTAAAATGTTGTGTGGTGAGCTGGGCTTAGACAGAACTTTCACAATGGAGAACAAAATGTAATTTTCTATTTTAAGATTTTAACCTTTTAACCAAGAACTGTAACATTTTTTTTTCAATTCCCAGAAATCCACTGGCCTCCACTGAAGGCCTAGAAGGTCTGAAGTTCCCCGCAGGTATATTAGCACTATCAAAGCTAATATCTGTCTCTAAATAAAGAACATAAGAGATGTTGTGCTTAGAGAAAATATTTATTTGTGTTAATTCCAGACATCAGCAAAGATGAATAAAAATATAGCTTTTATTACACTGATTTATTTCTGAAGCTAATTAAAGAAAACAAAGTAATGTTTTATTTTATGAAAACATAACATGATTGTAAATCAACAGGTTAGAATACATTAAGAATGCGAATATCAGGACATATGACCACACTGCATTTTGTCAACCACCATCAGTTTTTAAATATATATTCTAGTTTGGTTAGACATAAGAATAAGATAAAATATATACAATGAAAATTTTACAAAACATTAAGCATCAAAACTCATAAGGACAAAAATATGTAATCATACCCCCCAAAAAAGGTTCAAATCTACCACATAGTATGTTTATGATGATACTGTGTGACTGTCATACATTTTAAATTTAACATTGCTATCAAATCTTACTTTCAGTACATTTATCATGATAAACACTCTGTGTACTGCTGGACTTGTACAGTGTATTATTATTCATAACAGAGAGTGTTAAACTCTATTCAACTTACTAAACTCAGAGGAAAAGAGAGATGTGATGAGACTGATGAGTCCTTTTTATAATAATGTTGATTATGATTAAGACCTTTTTAAATTGTATACACATATTTACAGGTTTGATACAATTTTTGATTCTGAGATCAAGACTTGATTTGATTTTCAACATTTTATGTGTTTAAAGGTTTTGATTCTACTGAGCTGTGATTATATATTGTACAGATTGTATACAAATTTGATTTAAAAACAAAATATTGAGCTATGAGCGACGCAAAAACAGATGAGATGCAACAGTACAGCAAATATAAGTTCCTAAGTAGAGACAGAGGAGTGTATCGACTGTACAGTTTCAGATTTTGATGCACAAACACTGATTTAAAAGCATTACATCCTTAAATTTTACTAGCTAAAATGCTCAGATATTATAATGAAAAACTCCAAGCAGAGTTCATATCAGCTTATTCCTAAACTCAGTCAGTGTTAGAAAAGTACAGTAATATACAAATGAGAAAAAGTGAGACTCTTTTCACTTCATCAGTATAAAACAGTAACAGACCGTTTGTTATTGAAAGATATACAGATATTAAAGATAATTCTGACAGTCTAAATGTGTTCAGATCCTCTTCCGTCAGCACTCCTTAAAACCCCAACCAGGAGTTTCTGTAATATGGTTACTTTTCTGTCCTGCAACAGCAGCAGCGGTTTTCTTCAAAGACCTACAAGAGAAAAGCACTTTATAAATGACATATTTATATATTTTGACTGCTGACAAAAAGTTTTATTTAACCCTAAAACAGGCAGTGCACACCAGGAGATACAAAATATTGGTAACACTTTCTATGAATGTCACCTTTGTAAGCATCTATAAACACATTTATAATATGTTATAATGTATTCATAAGGCATTATAAACATGGTTATAAATATTTATAAAAAAGAATTACACTGAATTACACTTTATAGCCATGTTTATTATACATTATGAATTGTTAATATAATGCATTATAAATAGTGTTAATAACATGTTATACTGTCAGTGCCAAAGAAGTCAGTCCCAGCTTGGAGAGTGTAAAGTAAAGACAAATACCAAGCTAACGGTGGTGTACATTGACTTTCTCACATTGTGTAAAACACTGATGGCAGCACTAGTTTAAACTCTGACATTTGAAGCCTGTAATGTGCTTTATTGTGTATGTTTTAGTGTTTCAGTAAATCCTTCAGTAAATACTTCAACTTGAAGCCTCACTCTTAACACTGGAGGTGGCTTTAGTACAGTACGCTTCACTTTACTTAGAGCGGACAAATACAACTTATGAGCTCTTATAATTTGTTATGATCAGTATTTATAATGTATTATGTTAACAATTCATAATGCATAATAAACATGGCTATAACATATAATGCATTTTTATAAATATTTATAGCTATGTTTATAATGTCTTATGAATGCATTATAACATGTTATGAATATGTTTATAGATGCTTACAAAGGTGACATTCATAGAACGTGTTACCAAAATATTTAACATCCTGTAAGGAGTGTGATTAAAGGTTTTCACCCAAGTAAATTATCTTTTATCAAAAGACTGGATCAAGTCACATGACATGATTCAGGTTATATGTCATCATTTCTTCAGCCTGCTCAGAAATCATCACGGCTGCCAGGGCTGCAGGACTTACTGAACAGGTGATAAGTAATTATTTATTAATCATAGTTATTTTCAATAAAATAATAACAGAAATTCATTAAACTAATTATGACTATTGTCTTAATATGCTGATGAAGAAATACATGGTCTAATGGTGTTCCTGGTGTTAATCAGCAACTTTGAAAAAGCTTGTATCTCCTGAGATACATCGCCAGATTAGGGGTAGAAAGTAGGTCAATGTGTAGTATTCAAAATTTATTTTCAGATGGGAAGACATGTTAACATTGACTGCATAAACAGATATTACTATGCTCATGTATGTACATTATGACAGTATAACCATGTACACTCACAGAGCACCTTTATTAGGAACACTGTACTAATACTGGGTAGGGCCGCCCTACTCTCAAAACAGCCTTAATTCTTTGCAGCATAGATTCACAAGATGTTGGAAACATTCATTTGAGATTCTGGTTCATGTTGACATGATTACGTCATGCAATTCCTGCAGATTTTTAATGCTGCAAATCCCTCATTCTACCACATTCCCACAGGTGTTTTATTGGATTCAGATTCTTTGTGATATGGCGCATGCTGGAAGTAGCCAGTAGAAGAAGGGTAAATTTTGGCCATGAAGGGATTCACATGGTCAGCAAAACTACTCAAATAGGCTGTGGAATCCATGAAATGATTGATTGGTTTTAACAGGCCCAAAGTGTGCCAAGAAAACATTCCCCACACCATTACACCACCTCCACCAGCCTGGCCTGTTGACATACAGTTGGTTGGGTCCATGAATTCATGCTGTTGGTGCCAAATTCTGATCCTTCCATCTGTGTGCCTCAGCAAAAATCAAGATTCACCCGACCAGGCTACATTTTTCCAGTCTTCAACTGTCCAGTTTTGGTGACCCGGTACCCACTGCAGCCTCAACTTTCTGTTCTTGGCTGACAGAAGTGGAACCCAATGTGGTCTTCTGCTGTTGTAGCCCATCCGCCTCAAGGTTCAACATGTTGTGCATTCTGAGAAGCTTTTCTGCTCACCACAATTGTACAGAGTGGTTATCTGAGTCTGGCCATTCTCCATTGACCTCTCTAATCAACAAGGCATTTCTACTGCTCATTGTTTGTATTTATTGCACCATTCTGAGTAAACTTTACAGCAGGGGTGCACAGCTCGAGTCAGCTTACATGCTTTTTCACATTCCAGGAGATCAGCAGTTATAGAAATATTTAAACCAGCCCATCTAGCACAAACAATCATGCCACAGTCAAAATCACTGAGATCATGTTTTCCCCCTTTCTGATGGCTGTTGTGAACATTACCTGAAGCTTCTGGCCAGTATCTGCATGATTTTATGTGCTGCACTGCTACCACACAATTGGGTGATTATAAATAATTGCATGAATGAGTAAGTGTACCGGTGTTCCTAATAAAGTGCTTGGTGAGTGTATTTTCCTGCAGGGCATCACAGTTCTTGTTTTCCTAGGTCATTTACATCACACATACTAGTTTTTATATTGATTTTATCATTTCTATCAAAGTACAGGCCTACCACAGCCTTTAGTCCTATCAATCCAGCTCTACCAAGTGAAAAGATATCAAATAACTGAAGGTTGTGATAGGCCTATACTTTGATAGAAATGATATAATCGATTTAAAAACTAGTTTATGTGATGTAAATGACTTAAAAATATATATATACTCTCATCAAATCGTTAAAATGTTTACCATTTTGACTCTTTCTACACCTTAATAGGGCGACACATCCTGATAAATACAAGATACAACTCACAAAATCTGAAATATACAACATTATTATTATTATTATTATTATTATTATTATTATTTTTAATGTTTTACTTTGGTCCAAATAAGTTAAGGTAACAAATTAAATTATTTTTTACAGCTTATTTTCCACTCCTGCTTGTTAAAGGTAAGTGTAAACAGTTTTCCTCCAAACAGTTTTGTTCACCTGTCTGTAAAGCACTTTGAGCTGCCACTCGTATGAAAAGTTATTATTATTATTATTATTATTATTATTATTATTATTGTTGTTGTTGTTGTTGTTGTTGTTAAAGGTTAACTTTTTATTCGAAACAACAAAATATGTAACTTGGCCAAGTGTGGGGGCTTCAGAAACCCACTTAATATCACTGATGATAATTTTACAACAATTAAAATTAGATGAAGGACACAGTATACGTTATAGGATGGGTGTAAAAATGAGATGTTTATAATCACTGTAAGCAGCTGTCATAACACTATAGTAAAATATGTAAACTTTTTACTTATGTAAAATTAAAACTCATTCATCTTTTCTTTTTAAGTACTTTTTTACCTTTGTCCCTAGAGTTAATATTTTTGTATTAATGGGTGAGTAAAGTACATAACGTGGCCCCAAAACAGTATCTTTTTTAAAATGAATAAATAAAATTAGACAATTCATTTGTTCTGTAATTACTGTTTTCAATGGTGCTGCATGGCAGAGGAACAGCCAATGCTTTGTGTTAACACAGTCAGTCTTATATGACTTTTTAAAAAGAAAAGTATATTAGGTAATTCATACCATCTCTGTGGTGATCTCCCAGGTTTTTCATCTTAATTTGGGAATAAGTCACATCATTTGGTGGCTTCACTGCTTCATCTGATACAGAAATAATTTAGATTATATCAAAGACAATTAAAGAGAAAAATATATCTCTGTAATTGTAGAGATGCAGTTCTTACTGTTTCCTTTGCGGTTCTTTTTAGTCACAATATGAGCGTAAGTTAAATCACTGGACTGAGCTGCAGAATCATCTGGAACAGAAGAAGTTACGCATCAGAGACGCCACTGTGTTCTCACATCATCAAAGATATCTCACTTAAAAACAAGTATTAATGAACAATTTGAAATATAGCTGTGTTCCTGTTAAATATGAAATCAATAATCCATAAATGTGATCAATACTTATTACAGAGGAAATAAGATCTTTTACTGAAACAGTGTAACTGTTGTAAAAACTAAATGCTAGTGATTATGTTGGTAATGTAAACTGAGCAGCCTGCGGTGGTGGGTTTTCTGTGAGAGACCCCCCAGACCCTGACCGACTCTGGCTTTGACTGGTGTTCTGCTGATTTCCAGTAGAGGGAGACAGAGATCCTGCAGCTCCACAGTGAAAGTAAAAACACAGCTCACATGCTGTTTCGCTTAAATGCATTTGTTGAAGCAAAAATACATCTTTGAATAAGAGATTTAAACTATACTTTTATATCAGCGACAGTACAAACAGCACAGCTCACAGAAATCTGTCTTTAGTCAGCTGCATAAACTGATACAGGACAGACAAAGTGTGTTTTCAAACCTTTGCTCTTCTTGCAACAGTGAATCAGGCCCAGTATGATAATGAGGAACAAGGTTAGACTCAGTCCCACTGACACTCCGATTATTTCAGATCCAGATCCAGATCCAGAAACTGAAGCTGAAGAAAGAAATATGTGAATCTCCACTTTGTGAACTGTAGAGTTACAGAATGAATAAAATAACATGACACTCTGTTCTCACCTCTGACTGAGAGCCAGCTCTTTGGTGACTCTCCTTTCTCTGGGTGTTTACAGTGGTAGAGACCTTCATCTGACTTTGAGACAGTACGGATGATCATCTCTCCTGTAGTCTGGGTCTGGAGCAGTGATCCATCTTTATAGAAATCAGCTGTGAGGTTTGAGGGCTTTGTGGAGCGAAATAAACAGCGGAGAGTCAAAGAATCTCCCTCAGTCACAGGATGGACAGGACTGTCCAGAATCACATCACCATCTGTAGGGGAGAGTAAAAAAAGTGTGTAGAATACAGTAATGATCTCAGAGAGTCATTGTGAGGTGGATACAGATAATTCCTGCATATACACATACTTTCAGACAACATAATACTATAATATTTTCAATATTTTATTTACATTATAATTCCAATGTTAACCTTTACAAGCCAGTAGCTAGAAGTTATTACTACATTAATACTTTGATAAGCCAGAATTAGAGTGAATTAAGGACTATATGGATTGATTGATTAATTGATGATTACTACTGTATTAAGCAATAACAACAGTGAATTTAGAGTAGGGGGCTGGTTCATATTTAGTGGTCAGTGATTTACTACTGAGCTGTTGATAATTATAAGAAAACACCAAACTAGTGCTTTGAAAAAGACAAATCTTATGGGAGAGTAATTCAGTATTTTTTCAAATCAATTAATTAATAAGCACATATCATATAGATTCTATACTCAGGTGATGGTTGTACACAAGCAGTGTACAGTGGCACTGAACAATGTATCATAATCAGCAGTTATTGGTTTCATAAAATTAACTTGGTAAAGCTTTTAAAATTTTGTGCAAAATATTAGGATGTAAAACATATAAAGAGAAGTTCTGGAAAAAGCTTAATTCATTTTATTGCTTAATAAAGTAGTAATAAGCAGACAGCTACTGGCTTGTTAAGCCTTATAAGTGCACTATAAGAGAATCACCAGGCTTCCTTTTACTGAAGTGTCACTGAAGTGAACCGCATTATACTTTTTTGTTTTATTGCATTATAATTTTATTTATAATTAAATAGCTTTTAAAAATCCCTGTATTCCTCTATATTGAACCCCTATTATTGTTAAGAGTAAAGGAGACTGACTGTGCACTGTGATGTTGAGAGGATCACTTCCTCCTCCAGATTCAGACTGACACCAGTAAACTCCAGTGAGGGATGTGTAGAGGGAGCTGATGTTGCATGTAGATCCTGTAACTGATGAACAATCTGACACCTCCCCACTGTGTGTGTATCGCCTCACTCTCCATCCAGTAGAGTCACTCTGTCCCTCACAGCTCAGTGAGAGAGAGCCAGCACTAAAGTGTTGAGTTCTGCTGGGACTGATGATCAGAGAGGCTGGAGGAGATGAACCTGAACATGCACACAAGATACACATGTAGCATGATGCTAATGCTAAATACTAACTTAACTGAATGGGTTTGATAAATACATACATATGTGTATATATGCATATATTCATCTCTGTATTTCCTCACCAGTGATCCATAATGTCTGTGGAGTGCTGTACTGTGTCTGATAGGCTGGTTCTCCTCTCTCTGCTCTGCACACATAAACTCCTGTGTGATTTAGAGCAGCAGGACTGAGAGTGTAGGAGCCTCCAGCTTCTCTTCTGCTGTCTGACAGGAGCTCTACATGATACAGAACATTGCCATGAACGTCTCTTATTTGTTGTAAGCCTTGTCTGTAGAGAACAGCTCTGTACCAGCTGAATGTCCAGCCTGTAGAGGAGCCTGTAACCTCACAGCTTAGAGTCACTGAGTCTCCTTCAGTCAGCCAGCTCTGTGGAGACACACTCAATACTGCCTGAGCTACATCTGACAGAGAGAACATGGAGAATATAATAGACTAAATCAAGTTTATACACGGTGATAAGATCATTACATACAGTATAATTAATGAGAATATTAAAACAAATCCACAGACTCACCAGACACAGTCAGTGTAACAGCATCACTGATCTCTGAGCTCTGAGAGTCATGTTTTCTTTCTCCTCTGCAGGTGTATTTACCACCGTTAGACTCTGTAACAGAGCTGATTGTGAACTCTTGTGTTCTTCTGTTTGGGGACAAACGGTCATCTTTATACCAGCTGTAAGTCCACTCAGTGTCTCCTCCTGCCTGTATGTCACATCTCAGAGTGACCGCCTCACCTTTAAACACCTGTTTATCAGGCTTTATGGACACCACAGCTTTAGTGCTGTCTGTAAGAAAATCACAGTTCTCAACACTGTTATTACAATGAGAGTCAACATTCTGAGATTAAATAATTCATCTTGTGCAGTACTCTGTTTCATTTATTTAATTAATAAAATACTAGTAATGTATGTACATTACTAGTTCAAAGTCATCTATAGTTTATTCTCATTTTCACATTTCTCATTTATGACTACATCATCATGTCTCCAAATTCACAACATACTTCGATAGCAGGGTACAACAACCTGAGGCTGTCTCCTAGTTTATTAAACATGCATTCAGAAAAAAAATCACACTCTTTCTGATAGCACCATCTGAGAATGACCTGATCTATAATCTGGGTGTGTGAATCATTTATTTAGGACCTTGCAGTTTAACTAAGAGAGAGGAGACAGCATTGCTTGACTTCAGTACCTTTGCTACATCTGTGCCTGTTATAAATGGATGGTAGGGCTGGGCGATAAAACAATAATAATAATTATCCTGATATAACTTTCCTCGATAGAAATATAAGAATGTCCATTAAATGTTTGATACAATACACCACTCTCACACCTCTAGCATCAGCGACTTCCAAGTTTTTGACACGATCAGAGAGGGCAAGGAGTAAAATGAGTCATCAAATATACTTCTGAAACATGGAGTTATACAGTCCCTGTTTGAATGGAACAATCGGCGATCTGTTCTGCTGTGACCAAGTGCAAGTGACGAGATGAGTGGTGTAACTGTACTGTCCTACAGCGACCTTGTTACATCCTAACAAGCTTTAGCAGCAGTAAATCACATCTGCTCCTCACAATACAGCACTGTTACAGCACTCAGACAGCCATATTTTAGTATAAGTGCATTCCCAAGCAACAAAAGTGAAAGAAAGAAGTGAGTTCATGCAAGTTACAGCACTGATTTAAATGAAAGTAAACTGAAGATGATGTATGTGTGGCATTGGAGAGTGAGAGAATGCTAGCTTCCCAGGTTAGGTGTGTTTAGCAGCTGGCTAACTTGAAGCAGCGCTCTGTCACTCATACAGCACAGTGAGTTTAAACATACCTAAAAGGGGGATGTTGTTTGTCTAGTGTGAGAGAATCACACTGCAGTTAATGCTTTTACACAGCGAGCGTCAGATATATTGCAGTTCTTCCACTCTTTAAACTACTATGACAGAATAAATGAATGGATGTGGTAGGAGTGATGGCAGTAAGGCTGTGTGATCCATCACTGACGTACCGAGCTAGCAAATGTTAGCTTTTTGTACTGAGCTGACATTCTTGAGAAACTAAACAGTTTAGCGTTTGTAACCAGATAGCCTAGCACTCGTCACCAGACAGCTAAAAATAATCTGTTTTCTTTCTTAAATTATGAATATTACAAAAACAGCTAACCGGAAACTTTCTCACACTCTCCCATGACAGATTTGTGAATTGTTCTACTGTTCTGACCATAAAGCATAGTTTAAAATAGCAATTAACCACTCAGGAGCAAAAATCAGCCTTCAAACTTGAAAGAAATAATGATTAAAATAATGATTGTCATGACATGTATCAATATTGACTGATATATTTTTTTTTATCGTGGTAACATTTTTGGCCATAACGCCCAGCTCTAGTGGATGGATAAAGTGTTTAAGTCAAACTAGCTCTGTGCTTAATACAGACTACAAAGAGGCAAATCTACTGTGTGCCACTTTGACCAAATAGCCATTTTTGGTACATTTTCTGGCTGTAATGTCTGTAATAAACAGACAGTTTGGAGCCATTAAAAAGTCTCCTTGGAGACCATGCCCCCAGACCCCAGGCTTAGCCCTCATATCCAAAAACATCTAGTGACACTCCTGCTGAGGGTGTTAGATGATATATTAAAATGTGTTTTATTCCCAAACCGGCGCTGATCCTCCTCCAGTAAAGCGCAAGCTTCCTTTTTTTGTTCATGTGCTTTTCTCAGTAACAGCTTTTTGACTGTTACACATCCTTTCAGACCGTCTGGAAGGATGTCAAGAAACATTTATTCAGATCTGAAGCAAGAGTGGAGTTTAATTTTCTCCTGTGTCTTAAAGATGAAAGCTTTAAGTGCTGTTTATCTGATGATGACAGTTTTGATGGTCTACCAGATTGTGCACAATTGTTCCATTTTCTCTTGATCTTTTAATAATTTCTTAAATTCAAGTTTTGAAAAACTCCTGTTTTTTCCACTTACTTTACTTTGTTTTCCCCTTTTCTTATGAAAGTATCTTATATCTAATCGTGATCTTCATGAAACAAGTTCTCTGTTCCATTTGTTAGAGTTTGTAAAAGTGTTAGTGTATTAAGTTTCCGATGGTTTTACAAGCAGGAAGACACTTGTGAGTGTACATTATAGAGATGTTACTCTGCTTCGCATAATAGGAAAACTGTGATAATGCACAGCCTCCTGTAGGAGATTTCTTTAGAACATCACAAGACATTTATAAAACCCACAAGCTCTGTTAGATCAGAGTACAACATGGTTAAGAAGGTTTGTTGGATCTTATTGCAGTTATTTACAACAAATACATGTAATAAAATATTCATTTGATTACATTTTATGGCTTGATGTCAAATATTTCAGGGTAAACAGTGTGAACCAGAACAAGAACTGAACAAAGTATCATTTTTTGCTTTGGTCTGGATGAACTGAATCAAACTACTACATAAAAGGACCCTCAGATTTATGATGCCTTTAAGCCTTTATTAGATCCTAACTGTGCAGTTAACATTCAGCATTATAAAATATCACTCAGTGAAAATCTCTTACTCACCAGTTATGTTTACCCAGAGTGCATCACTGTAGTGTGTGTAGTAGACTGGGTTTCCTCTGCCAGCTCTGCACCAGTACTGACCTCCATCAGAGAGACTAACTGAGCTGATGGTGTAGACGTTGGTGATGGTCTCCTTCTCAGAGTTCTGTGTTTGTTTGGACCAGTAAAACGTCCATCCAGCAGACTGAGGGAGGTTACAGTACAGAGTCACTGTGTTTCCTGTCAGTGCAGCTCCTTCACGGTTTGAGGTGATTGTAGGTCTGACTTTTACTGTTGATAAAGAACAAATTTCAGTTAGTAGAATTTAGACAATCAGCTTTATGTTATTTAGAAGTGTAACTTTTATTTTAGTTTAATGTTTGAAGTAACACAGATAGTAGAGTTAACTCACTATGAGACACACAAGAATGTAACGTCTCCAAAAACACTGAAATGTTTCTAATGTAGCAAATACTTAGTAGCATAATCATGGCAATAAAAACAAACCATGAAACAGCAAGTGTTAGGATGTTTTTTCACTTTTTAAAGCCTTTTTCTGACAGAAAATGAATGTTAGGTGTGCTGTGTTTGTAATACATTGCTGTTACTTTGTTAAAGAATCACAACATGCTCTATTTTGTGCAGTGTGCAAGTTTGACTTGGCTCTTCTTAACTTTTAGGAAAGTAATGAAGTGTTATCACCCTCTACTGGGCTGACATGTTTGTGGGAGCATTTTCGAGTCATTTTTGTTTTCTCGTGTGGAGAAAAGTTTTTAAAAACACTGTTTGTGTGGACAAGTATTATTTTGAATTTAAAACATTTTTCTTTTTTTAAATATCCGGATACGTGTGGACGAGGCTTCAAACTAAACTTTAGAGGACTCTCGAAAAGAATGGAGACAGTGATAAAGGCAAAGGGTGCGTGAGCTCAGTAAATAAAAATGAACATGTTGAGATTATCTTTACTTCTTGAGGTTTTAGTGTACTTTTCTATATTAATATATTTTTTGTTTCTTTTTTCCCCAATGCAGAAAAATGGCTAACTTGTAGGACCACTATATGGCTGTTTTGACTGGAAATGAAATAATGAAGGGTGGTCTGGACATTTGTGTGAATTCGGCCTGTTGACCGTTCACTATTATTATTCTTATACCATTCATAATTCCAGTCATCTCCACTTTCTGTTTCACATGTCAGAGTGACTCTCTCTCTGATGATCACATGATCAGCTGGCTGGACTTTCACTGTAGCTGTTGGTCTCTCTGTTCAAAGTTGTAAAGTCTATTTAATGATAAACATACTCCTAACCTTTGTTAACATATTCTGGATATTTTTCAACCCTATTTGCAACTTTTTCACTGTCAGTGAGGCACTCCTGTCAATCAAACGCAGTGGGTGTGGCCCTCGGAAAGGACTTTTTAGTGCAGGTGTGTTTTAAGAGGAAATGACAAAAAAGTCTAAATGTAGCAGCACTGGTGCAAAGCTAGATGCTTGTTTAGAATGTAGAGGTAACAATAGCAGCTAATGCTATTGACATTTCAACAACCAGATCGCCAACCAGACCAAGGATAATTCTGTTGAAAGTCATTTCCTGTTGTTTTGTGTGGAAGTGATTCTTGATTGACTAGGAGAACTTATGGCTGTCACAGGCACCAATATCAGTGACACTGTGATCAGCATCGGTCAGAGGCTCACAGGAGAGATAGAGAAACACTGGAGAAACACTGTCCTTAACATTTTAGTGCTTTCTTCACTTAAACACATTCATTACAAACAGCCAGGGGTTGTTAACAAGCTGGTGCCTCAATGACACTGAAAATGCAACTGCAACTAGGGGTGTAGATACATTTTAACTTTGGCAGAGCTGCAGCGCAAAAATGATGAAATCCAATTGCAAATGGTTAATAGTTATTCTGTTTTTAACATGTCAGTCTTACCGTTAAGACAATGGAAATTAAATGTCAAAAGAATGTTGCGTTTGGAGTGGAATTTTCCTGGAATGTTGCTTTGGAGTGGAATTTTCTAACACATTCAACTATTAATGATAGAAATAAAGTGTTAAAGATGCCACACTCACCTGATACAGTGAGTGTAACAGCTTCACTGGTGTGTGTGTATATTCGGCCTGTTGACTGTGTTCCCTTACAGGTATAAACACCTGCATGAGACTGATCAACATTAGAGATTTCATATTTCTTCCTTTTAGCATCTCTGAGAAGATTATTATTCTTATACCATTCATAATTCCAGTAATCT